CCAGAGGATTATACCTCTACTTCACCTTAAATTATATAGTTTCTAAAATAAGACTAATATGATAGTTAGCTGTTTAATATATATATATATATATTCATCTTTTTTAAAATAAAACAGAACAAATCGAATATTTGAACAATTTGTGTTGTATTTTCATATTTAAAGTTAGTAAAAAAACAAATTAAAAAGAAATTAAACGAAGAAACGTTTCAGTATTTTGAAATAAAAATTTTCAAAATTTAAGTAAATAAATTGAAATATAAATAAAAAAAATGTCTTTATAAATCATTTATATTCTTACTTAAATAACTAAAGACAATTAAAAAATGGCATTATACTATACATAGATCTCAGTACAAGTTTTGTGTGTTAGTGTTTATTAGTTTTGATTTATAAAAGTTGATACTATTTATTTAAACTTTTATACTGTTAAATATGAATTTTATAAACTGTTTTGTATTAATCGTTATTTTAATTCAATCACTACTCTCAAATTTTGTATTAACCGAATTAGACCAATGTCAAAAAATTCAACTTCTTAATGAAATACTTGTGAATGTGGACATATGGATTGAACTCAAAAATATAAAAGTTAGAAGTGGAGATAAAAAATTACGAGTTTATGCAATCTTTGATAGTAACGACAATATAAATATACATCTGAATAATACACAAATTGTTGAATTACTTTCGTCAACAAATGTGCACGTTAATGAAAGCAATTATGAAAAAAAGGTAGAGTTAATTTTTAAATTCGTAAAATGTAGGTGTTTGGAAAGAATTAAGTTGAGTAATCGATTTTTGTTATACATAACTAGTGGTTATGAAATTAACTGTGGTAAAAAAATAGAAGCACAAGATAGAAAAATGAACTTACAAATAAAGGAATTGCTTATAACAAAAATCAATGAATATAAAGAATTAGCACGTAGACTTCATTTTTATGCAATGTTTTTTAAAAGTTTATTCCCTGATGATATAGATGATGTAAGTAATAGTGACCCATTTTTTTCGAAACTAAATACTGTATGTAATATGGAAATACCTGAAGATAATGATTTGTTTGCAAGTAATTTGAAAAAAACATTAGATATTTCATTTAATTATGTTAGTAATTATTCAAAAAATTCATGTTTTTATGAAAACAATATTATTCACATGATTTCGTATATAAATGAATACGAGACTTTTGTCTTTAAAAATCCAGATTATAAGGGAAGCTTTGCAGAATATATGATTGTTTACTTTGACGTATATGTAAAACAAACTTATGATTTTTTTACACTGTTGACATTAAATAAAGTAACTATTGATACACAATATTCAATTACCAATTTTTAATGTTTATAAAACATATATGAAACTTAAAAATGCCAAATCAAGTTTTTATAATAGTTGTTATTTTAAGAAAAATCGAGTGATTTATATTAATAATGTACACTGTAAATTCAACACTTAAATTTGTATAATTATATTATATTCTTATATTTAAAAAAAATATAATTATTTTATTATTATTAGTTATATAAAAAATTATTTTTGATTATGTATTTTAACCAAATACTGACAGATTTCTTGAAAAATATAAATTTTATAGTCACACTAGATATGAACTGAAATAATAATAATTATAAATTATTTTTGCCTATCACTATATTGTCATTTCAAAATTTATATGAATATATGTAATCTATTTATAATAATAAAGTATTTAGATTGTTAAATAATTTGTAATTTATCTTATTGGTGGATTATTCTAAAAGTTACATGATCTGCTAGTTCATAATTAATATCCTGATTAAGATAAAGTATGTCGAATGAAAAGGAGATTATTAAAAAATATTTTTTCTCATAAAAAAATTGTGTTGATAAAATCGAGAATTTTCACACAAAAATAGCATTTGGTAACTATTTTCATTGTAATCCGAAATTTTTTTTTCCTATAATAAAGTATATTATATAAGTCGGTTCGGTGAGAGCTGAGAAAAAGTGGTAACAGATACAAAAAAAAAAAAAACACATAGTATAATTAATACCTTCTTAGCATCGCATCGAAGCTAAAAAATTACAAGCAACTTTATTCGTAAAATTTTTTTCCGATTATCCGTTCGTCCGTTACAGCTTGTTAATGTTAAGTGATTTTAGGCCAAGTTTCTATTTTTATAATACTGTATTAAATACAGAAGTCATTATTTTTATTTGCTGTTGCATAAACCAAATTTTATTGATCAAGTTATGACATGTAAATTAACTATAAAAATTTACGACGTATTAAATGAGTGATAACAATAATAGATACAAATCTGATTTTTGGTGTATATTAATAGCAGTCTATGTGTATGTAAGACTAAAGAGGCTTACAAACTAGGCGTTTAATCGCGCGCGTACATTAGGTGATGTAGAAGTTGCATGCGTTGTATACGCCATGTATCTACGCTGTACAAAAAAACAACTATTTATAAACATTGAGTTCACCTCCTAAATTTAAAAGGACCTCGAGAAGGTCAATTTCAAGTTAATTTTTTAACTATGAGGAGTTATCCTGAAGAATTCTTCAGGTACTACCGTATGTCTATACGCTCGTTTGATGAGTTGAGTTATTTACTGTATTTTAAAATTATTAACTGTAACATAAAAAAAAACATTCATTAATATGAATAATGCAGGTTTATATTCAAGGGCGTCATTATGAGGGATGATTACCTCATATAATAATAATTACCCTGTGAAAATCCAATTTTTTGAGGGGGGAAATAAACAATTTTATTTGTACATTCCCTCAAGACTGAGTACTTAGTACATCACGACTAATACTGACATGTATTTGAAATGGTATTTTCATTAAATCCATTCTTTTATTTTAGGGTGTATTATTATTTTTAAGCTTATACTTTACAATATAAATATTATATATGTATTATTTTTCTATGGTATACGTTTATTAAAACAATTGTTAATAAGTATACCGCAAATGCCCCCAAAAACACCACTGCGTGTACAATTGTGTAATAATATAATTAAACTTTGTATGCTAGAAAGATTTTTAATTCATTACTTTACAATCATTAATTTAAATCAATAACATAACTCAACACTAGTTTGTTCAATTTTTAAGTTTTTTAGTTATTATCTTACACCTACAGAACAAAATATATTCAAAAATAGTTTTTGTTTGTTTTATAAAAAAAAACATTTTATTTTAATTATACTACTAGACCTAAATATATATATATATATATAATATATATTTATTGCCTTTTTATGGCAAATATATATAATATATATATTTGCCATAAAAAGGCCAATTAAGTATTTCCTGGATGATTATAAAACATTAAAACACACATTTATAAACTATAATTTTTTTATGGTAAATGGAGTATTTGTAAACATCGCAAAAAGACTGACGAACATTAAACATAATTAATCAGGAAAAGTTTGTAAGACATTTAAAAAACTCAAAAATAATTTTACCGATATCATTTATGAAAGAAAAATTGTTTACTTAAATATTTATATTCAAATTTATGTTTGTTAATTTGATTCAAAATGCCAGTCTTTTTTACAATGATCCTTATTCACAGTTATCCCACTGGACCATATAGCTGAATAAAGAATTTTAAGTAAAAACTTTAAGTTTTTAGAGTTTAACCAAAAATTAGTTCTATAAACTTTAGTTTAGATCAATATAAAAAAATATGTGTTTCAAAAAAGATTTTAAATTATTTTATTAAGTATTTTAAGTAATGTAATGGATAAAATAATTAAATAAAATCTCATATAATATTAAATTAAAAAAAATATATGAATTATCTAAAATTTAAAGATTCTATTAGTTGGATCAAAACTTCAAAATGAGGATACTTGTTTACGATTATCAATACCACCAGAAGAGCGACTTACAGTTACATTGAGGTAAAAAAAAAGAAAATTGTAATGTAAATTTTATTATAAATTTTCAAATTAATATCTAGTAAATGAAGACCCTGTGTTTGGTGTTTGTAAGTGAGAAGGAGTTGAGTTTAATGGTGTGTCGGATCTTGGATCTACAACAGGCGGTGAAGGGGACATCATATTTATAATGGTTTTTTAAAAGTTGATGGAATATCTTTTGAAGGGGCATAATTTTGGAAATTTGAATAAAGCAATAAATAATAAGCAACTTGATGATTACCTTTATTAGCTCTTTGGATAGTTCTTAATATGTCAATATACAATTGAGATTTCTGGTCTTCGGGAATTTTTTTGATTTGTGGTAGTAAGGAAAGAAGAAATAGTTTATCAGGATCATTTTCCTCGGGTTTTCTGTTTTGTAAGAAAGATACAAGGTGATTTTCCAAGTCTTTTGATTGATGTCCTTCCAAGTTCTTCTTTTGACGTTTCACTGTTTTAGGTATAACATTTGACTTTTGAACAGTTATACTATTTTTTGATTCAACTTGTCTTTTACAATGACGCCTTCTCCATCATCAGTTGAGTATTCTTCCATATTTATTTTATCATTATCACTTTCATTATATTCATTTTCTTGTGTAAAATTACTTTCTGTTCTACAAATTTAATATAAAATCATATTACGTTTGTTATTTCAAATACCTTGAAGTAAAATTTATGATAAATTTTGATAGCGATTTACAATATTACTCACTTATTTATTTAAAAGCAATAGCAAAAAAAAAAATCTTACTCTCGATTTGTCATAGTAGGACGTAAGAATTCCAAAATATCACTATATGCGTATTTAGTTTTGCTTGACCTTGCCTGATCTGATTTTGAAACACATTTTCTTCTGTAACTATCTCTGAGGGATTTCCATTTAGTGTTTAAACCTTTTACTGCAATTAAATTAAAACAATTGGAATTACTTTTTGAGATAATTGTCCAACTTTTTTAACTAGAACATTATGAAAATAGTATATTTCTTTAGGAATTATTATTTTTTTGTTTCTCAGATATTTAGCAACGGGAACAAACTTTTCAGCTTTCATTTTGATTTTTTAATGGGTGTTTCAACCATAAGAAACATTATACGAGAGACTTGTGAGATACTTTGGTCAGAGTTACAACCTGTAGAAATGGCTGTACCGAGCACCGCAGATTGGCTAATCATCGCTGATGGTTTTTATAAAAAAACACAATTTCCTAATTGCGTTGGTGCAGTAGATGGGAAACATGTTCGGATTGAATGCCCAAAGAAGAGTGGAACCCTATACTTTAAATACAAAATTTTTTATTCTATTGTACTTCTTGCTGTTTGTGACGCCAACTATTGTTTCCGAATTATTGACGTAGGATCTTTTGGAAAAGATTGTGACTGTAATATCTTTAAAAATTCAGCATTCGGTAAAAAGTTCTACGCGAATCAAATCAATTTCCCATCTGAAAATGTATTACCCGAAGACAAAAAAGGAACACCCCAACCTTACGTAATTGTTGGAGATGATTTTTAATTATCGTTTATCAAGAGCTCGGCAAAATATTGAATGCTCGTTTGGAATCCTTTCAAACAAATTGAGGATATTCCATACATCTATATTGGCTTCTCCGGATTTATATTATTTGAAGTAATTCTATAATGAGTTCCTATGTAAAACTATACATATATACTAATAATAATATTTTCCCCTATTCATATTCAATTTTAAAGTATACAGTACTTATATAAATTGAAATGTATTAAGCTAATACACATGATCGTATTAATTTTATTAACATATATATATATATATATTCATGTACTTTATTTAATACTTACCTGTATTCCAAATTGACTCTTCCAAATATATGGAATTAATAAAATTTTTTGTGTCAAAGACATGATAGATAGAAGAAACAAAAGGAAATGAATCCAAAATAATACGTGAAAATAGATTCAATTAACCCTCACGTGCCCGGAAATCGCGGCATTTAATCGCCCCGTGTGAATGATAACATGCGATTTGTATTGTTTAATTTTAGCGATCGGTCGCGTCCGAACGCATGTTTTTACTTATAGTGTGCATGGTTCAATTTAAATGCGGGTGTTTTATATAAAGCGATTAAACGCCGCGTTTTTAAAAATGCGTACGCGCGCGATTAAACGCCTATTGTGTAAGCCTCTTAAAACATAAATTTCTTAGCCTCTCTTCGCCATAGTATAGTAACTAAATACTATCAAATACTACGGATTTGATACTTTTTAATTTTTGTTGACTGATATGAATTCAAAGCTTTAACATAACTATATAAACGCTCGTCTTTTAAAAGATTTTAGTTCATTATTTTACTATCTTAAACATAACCTTAAAAAACTGAACTGGTACAGTACTAATTTGCCGGCTGTACTACAAGCTTGCGTGGTCAAACATTTTTGTACGTTAATAATGTTGCATTGTTTTATTATTATCTAAATATAGTGTTTTAGTGCAGCGTATTAATAAAAAAAAGTTTTTATTTGTATGTCGTTACAATAAATAAATTATTTTTGAAATAATTAAATTAAAAGAAAATTGAATAATAGTCGAGTACAATATACAATGAAATAAGCTTTATAGATCTTAGTAATTAGTAATTTTAGTCTTAGTAATTTTATTTTATGAAATAGCAGCATAAAAAATGAAATTTATCGAAAAATTAAAGAGATTAATTTTTGAAGATATTTACAGTTTTGGATTTGCTGCTGTTGAAAGACAAAATTATCAATTTATAATAATAGATTATTATAAATTTGCGTAAATATTTATACTGTCTCTTTTAAATAAATAAAGTGTTAACGTAAAATAATTGTATTCGATATTGCTTTAAAATGTACCGACGACTAGTTTGCTGAAAATAAATCAATTAGAAGAATACTGAATTCCTTATTGAATTCATATCTTCAAAAAGGAGAGAGAATTAGCCTCTCACTGGCATGCTCGCTCATTGATGTGCAAACAGAACTAAGCCTTTTTATATTATTTTTAATTACCTCTTCATGGGTTGTTGTCGTCAGCGCTTTTAGTGATTCTCAATTTATTGTATTAAATTGAACATACCATGATAGTTATTTTAAGATAAGATGTATAGTGTACAATAATCAATTTAACATGTATATACAATGTATATGTATATTATACATATATAATAGCTAGTGTACAACAGTGTATGTGTTATAACAGATAAATTAATTATTTGTTTGTATAAAATTGGTATTAAATATTGATATGTTAAATTATATTAAATATAATTATATTATTAATTAAATATTAAATATTGATAAATGTAAGATACGTAATGCAGAGCATTGTGCATATTTCGACAATATCTAACTTCCATGCAGTAATTGTTGAATACACTTTTATTAGTCTTATTACTTTCTGGAAGTTTCTTCCAATAGGTTTGTGTTGGCTCAGTAGATAATGATTAATTTTTCTTTCAGCAATTTTAATTGAAAATTAATTACTAAAATAATCTTTAACTTTTATATAAAAAAATTAAAATAATATTTATTTAAAAATTCTGTGTGTCGTCTAAAAGTAAAAATATATTAAATCAATGTTAAACAATTTTAATTTTGTGATATGAGTTTTATAATCAATGTTAAATTATTAAGAAAACCATTATAATCTCCAGTGGTGCTCAAAGAAAAGTTAAAAAAAACCCAGCACAGGGGGGTCGCGGCACAGTGGTGACGTGGCATAGTTGGATCAAGTATAATGATATCTGACAGTGATTAAAATCACTATAAAAAAAAAACGCTTCGATGCAAATCTTTAGATAGTGTTTAATTTTAAAAAATTGGTGGATTATTCCAAAAGCTTCATAAACTGCTAGTTCCTTATTAATATCCTGATTAAGA